CCTGCTGAAGTCCATTCTCAGAGTCACTTGTTTCTTGGGCACATTTTGCATTAGAAGAAGCGCTTTCACTTTGGCAGGGCTTTTGCTTTCTCCTCGCAGAAGAGCTGGCAAGCTTTTTAGATGTGGTCTTTGTACCCATACCATCCGATACGCCAGTTTTCTCTCCAATGGTGCCATTTCCATGAATTATTCTTTCTGATTTGAGAAGCTGATTAAGTTGCAACAGTTCTTCTTGGCCATCAGTATTCAAGGACACAAGCTTAGTTACACAAATAACAAACACTATACCGCCTGATATTTACCGTCTTATAGCATTGTGGACCGCATGGTAGATTTTCATCTTCCGGAGGGCTCCATGAAGCTGGTTTCTCGGCCTGAAAATTCATGAAAACAAAATGACTAACAACCAAAAGATACTTGTAACAGTAACAATAAATGTTAAGCTTACAGGAGATACAAGATCCTGAGAACACCCATGCAGTCGGCAGTCGAATACCTGCACAGCCATAGAACAAAGCAAACAAAAAGTCAATGTACACGGAACACCAAGCAATAGCCTTACTAAATGAAACATGAGAATGGAATGAACAACAAGGCTACTAACAAGACATCTGCGGCAAAATAGGTTATCAAAAGAATCTAAAGCTGCTTCGAGATCCTTGTTGAGAAATGAGTTCTCTGCTTGTGAATCCCCATTCTTAGAGACTTGTTTTTCCTTCATAAGCACTTCATGTCTTGCCTGTATAAGATGTTTGGTGTTTCATATCTCTGTAAAGCCAGCAAAAAGACAATTGGGAAAAGGCTGGAACAAAGCCAAGTGCATGACCACCGGGAACGTGATTAGATGGAAGAAACAATGCATATCAGAGGGAAATGAATTTTCTTACGATACATAAATCCGTAGTCAAATACGAAAATGCTCATCCGAACGACAATCAATGAGAAAATGCTCTTGAAAGTGGATACCTTGATTTCACTAGGACTCCTGGACAAGCAGTTTGCCAGTTCCTCCAAAACAGGATCCAAGAGACCTAAATGTTCAATGGTCATGCTGAAGCATTGGAAGGAAATTTGTTAAAGAAAAAAGTTAATGCAGGTTACACACAGATAAAACATAACGGGCAAGAAGTTAACACAAAGAAGCTAAAGCACTGTGTATATTGCACCACAGTAGTAAAGGAAAGCTTATGTCACATTATTTATACTAACCAAAGAATATAATCTTCTGACTCCACGAAATCTCTTTTCTCATCTTCATCTTCAGCCAATTCCTCTTCACTATCACTACAAATGAGTGCTTCGCCACCATTTTGATCGTAATAGATTCTCCTCCGACCCACAACTGACTGATCTTCTGTCATTCTCTGATTCCTGCAGCATTTTTGGACTATTTAATACATTCAGATATTCAGCTCTTATGCAGCAAGCGCTTTCCTTGTAAGTAGAACAATACACAGGTTCTAGTATTTCCCAAGACCATGATATCAACATACCTGTCTAGAAAAACCCATGTGGTATAAGGTGGCAAACGTTTGAGTTCAGGTATCTTAACTGGGCGTAGAGAAAGTTTAACAGGGACACTTGATCCTTGAATCGTGGTTGAATTGGCATGTGCATCTCCTAAGGAGCTGTGGTTATTATTATCCCCATCGCCTGCATCGATTCCACTTTTTATGCCGAGTGTATCTCTTTGCCTCTTGGCTAACAGATCCATCCCATCATTACTACCATCCGTACGGCTAACTCTTCTTTCCATGGATAACAGTAAGTTATGGGTAATACCACACAGATTTTTCTGGTTTTCTTCCATCCTTTTCTGGTGGAGAGAAAAGGGAGGAAACAATCATCAAATTCCAACAACCAGAAGAAGAAATGAATTCAAAATGAAGAATGAACAATCTCCATAGCAAGGCACCTTTATGGATATGCAGCGATCAGCTACAACTTTCGTTTTCAGGGATTCGATTAGTTCTGATATCTCCTTAGTGGTTGGAGTCCTGTCCCGCGGCTGGGATGTCTGAAAGGTGGCAGAGAAAAAGTATAAGCTAAAACTATGGAACCAAACAATTTCGGCAGATACCAGGCACATGTGTTTTGACAACAAAAATATCTTGAAGAAAATTAAAAATCCAATAAAAAAAATTAAACATCAAAAGGAGCTGTTTTTACAGTTTATGGATTTCATTGAAGCGCACTTTAATCAACATCAACCCATTGCTGAGTACATCCGTAGCTCATGGCTTACATTCGATCAAAAGTTAATTAAACAGTTCCACAGGGAATATCGTCTGCAGAAAAAAAATCCCCGACAATGCCCTCGAATTGTAGAAAAATATCATACGATGCAATGCGGGTATTTTCCGAAGCTTAATTAAGATAAACAGCTGTAAAACGTCCAGAACAAATCGGCTAGAAGCAAAAATCAAGATCATCGAAACCTCGTGCTCATTAGTCAAGACACAAGCGAAGCGTAGCCCATGACAAGCAAAATGAGTTCTAAAAACCCGAAAAACGAAAAGAATTTCAAACGCAGATCCAGAGAGTTGTGTGGTCGTGTTGAATGTGTGTCTGAGAGAGAGAAAGAAAGATGACGAACCGAGGATTCCTTGGGCGGATCCGATCTGGTCGCCGAGGACGACGGAGAAGCTCTCGACGCCATTGTCGAGGACCCAGATCGGAACCGGGAGAAATGTGGATATGAATCAGGACCCACGAATCGCGAATCGGAGAATGGTGGAGGAGAGAATGTACGGATGGGGGATTTGGCGGGCCTTGTAAACCCTAAATTTTCTTCAATTTAGGAGCCGATTGAAATATTTATTTACACTCCCCTCGTTTTTTATTTAAAAGAAATTTACAAAAAAAATTCTGACAAAAAAACAAGTAAGTTGGTGGGAAAAGACCGACGTGGCAAATCGATTTGAGTTATCCACTGTACAAAACGGAAAGGCATACGCGCTCTCCTCTTCGGCCCACTCCGGCTCCGGCGCCGGTGCCGGAGATTTTCCGCCGTCGAGAGACTGCCGTTTCCTTGAACGAGAAAGCGACCCGTTAACGTTTCTGGGCTCGAATTCTGTTTTGCTTCCTGGGCTCTAAAACCCTGATTTCTGGGCTTTCTTTAAGGGGTTTGCTTCAATCGTGGTTTTGTAAAGATCGCAGCTTTTCGAGTTCTCGTTGGCGTTTTCCATTCCCCGTATCGCATCGATTCAAAACAAACGGTGCGAGGATAGTCATCACGAAGATGCGCGGCGGCGCGGCGGTGTACGGACGGCCACGCGCCACGTCTCGGTTACTTGAGATCGGCAGAACCATAGCCAGATCCTTGTGCTATTCATCTTCGTCATCTGGTGATGATCACATTTATCTCTCTTTATGTTTATTTACTTCTCTGAACTTCTGAACGTGAGCTGTGAAATGAATTATGCCGTTTATTGCTTTTCGAAGATCAAACACGATTCTTAGGAACTGAAAACGAACTGAATACCATTGAATCGAATGGTGGATTCGTTTTGCAGACCATGAGAGTTTCATAAGGGACATAGCTAAAACTGAGCCTCCTATGCATCTGGTCCAGCTGCTGAACATGTCCAAAGCCAAAGGTAAGAGAAATTGTCTCATTTGTCCGGTCCTGCTCTCAGCAATCATCTAGTTGTTGAACTTTGTCCCTTGGACTGTTTCTTTTTTCTGTCTTACATTGTAGGTTAGTTATATTATTTTGGAATGACTTTGGTTAATCAAGTTTTCTTTCTCGACTAGATGATACCTGGGGTTGTGTTCTTTTGTCTGATTTAAGAAAAAGTGGGGACTTGGCTCATGATATATATTGTATCAGGTGGATCCATAGTTTCTCCTGGAGCCAAGCACGGTTTGTTACCTCTTACCATTCCATTGGCGAGGAGCAGTTCAGGTATGGTGGGTTTCAAAGTGTTACCGAGAGGCTTAAATCACATTGATCTTGTCTAGGAAACTTCTAAGTGGGCGTTGCAATTTTGTATGCGTTATCATTCCATCTGTAGGGGCTTTGATTGCATTACTACGGTGGCCAACAGCACCTCCTACGTAAGAGGACCCAGTCCTGTCTGTTGCTACGCTGTCCTAATTGTCTCTTCCGCCTTCTGTCTTGTGTCTAAATTATTGTTTCCTATGTTTGTAGCATGGAGATGCCTGTGGTGGAGGTTCAGAAACACGGGGTTTTGTTTTTAGCCAAGAATGTATGTAAGCAAAATTTCTGCTATTACAAATTTGTTGGTGTAAGGTACTTGTATGTCGCGATTGTGTGATAAAAAACACCTTGGTAGAACTTAGAAAAACTAGCTTGTAGAGTGAAATCATGCTCTCTTAACTGACATGAACTTCATTGGCCAATGTTCAGGTTGATCAGTTCATTCATCGAATTTTGGTGGAAGAAGATACCACTGATCCTCGTGATGAGATCTTTGATGCCGCTGCTGATGCCGGGCAGAAACTTTACAGAAATGGTGATTTTGCCAGGTCAAGATTGCCAGATGTAGATGCCTATCTTTTAAGAAAGGTACAGAAGTTTTAATCTATTAAATATCAAACTCTTGCTTGCTATGTACATATCGGGATAACTATCAGCTTTGCTATTTAGGTTGGACTGTTCCCGGATGTTCTGGAGCGCAAAGTTATGCGGCATGTTGAGAACGGAGACCATGTAAGGCTAGTAGTGATAACATCTACCCTGTTTGTATTCCACTTGTTATCTTTCTTCTTAACCATTTGCATCTGCTAATACAAGGTTTCAGCTTTGGTGGCTGCCGAGTTTTACGCAAAGAAGGGAAACTTCCCCGGGTTTGCTCGGCCTTTCGCATTCAACGCTGAGGTTTTGTTGAAGTTCGTACATTCCTCTTTTATCACCCGCTTTGTGTACATTTGTTTGAAGCTTATGTATGTTTTTTCCAGAATATCTAAGACCTTTATCGTTTTGTAGAATTGGGCGTAGTCTAGAAGCAAAAGACGCAGCTAGGGGTGCCCTGAAATCCTCGTGGTGGACCTTAGGATGCGAATATGAGGTATGATATCCAAATATATTGAATCCCAGTTGCGTTGTTTCATAAAAGAGAAATAAAAAAACCATAAGCAAAGGGAGTTTTTAATGTATGAAATGATTGTACAGAATGTTGCTCGGATAGCAGAGTGGGGAAACAAGCAAATAGAGGAATACAAGGAGAGAGTCACGGAGGAAGGCAGACAAAGAGACTTAGAAAGGGGAAAGCCAGCAGCTCAGGTTAGTTGTCTCTGTTCATTTTTCATCGAACTTCTTTATCATTTCCTGCTTTTTCTTACATATCCTATGTTTTTTGGTACAATGGCTTGAATCTGAACTCGTTACCATCGTTAGGCTTCTCTGGACAAAGCCGCTTTCTTGCTGGATTTAGCGTCTCTTGAAGGGATTTGGGACGAGTCACTTGAGCTCATTGCGCAGTGCTACAAAGAGGCAGGACTTACCGACATTGCCAATTTTGTTTTGTACAGAGATTGAGAGATTCATTCTCCTGAAGTCAGAGCTCAGGTATCATCTCCTCTCATCTACCCCATAAGCATCCTGCAAACAAGCCACTAGAACAGAGTACTGATGTTTTCTTTTCTGGGACTTGGAAGTGAAATGGAATGGAACAGTCATAGTCATTGCATTTGATATCTAATCAAGATTTACATATATACAATACCCAAAAATACTTAAAGTAGGAGACTTTATTTGCGTAATGATACATGATTAATCATTGGACAACAGCAAAGAGAAAACCCTTGATCTAGACATGAAGTTTTACAAACGTAGACACCATTTTCTCATTAGGTGGGAGGTAATGGAACAGGTAGTTTCTTGCTGTTACTTTTCTTTTTTCTCCATAATAGCTTTTTCCAGAGGCTCTTGACTCCGCCGCCTTTCTTTTGAGGAACAATAGCATAAGAGCTTCTCTCGCTGCCTTTGCCTTTGTCTGGGAGAAGAATATGTTCCAATGCCTCGATCGTTTCATTGTAAACGAAAGTTCCGTTCTTGTCAACTGGGTATTTCTGACCCTTGGATTGCTCAGTGTCAGCATCGTCGTCGGCCTTCATCTGATCTTTAAGAGATGATCTCTGGTTGATCAATCTCTTCTCGGGTTTTGTTTCTCTCGGGGGTTGGGAACTGGTAGAGAGCGATGTCGGTTCAGACACCACTTGGTCTGAAAGTGGAGCCACTTCCTTCGAATCAGACAATGCCCTGAGCTGCTTCCCAAGGTTTAGTATTGTCTCCTGGCATTCTGCCAACCTTTCTGAAGCAGCTATGATTTCTCGTTCCTGTTTCATCAAGACAGAGCAAAACCACATTTTAATTTGGAAATAGAGTTAAAAGCCGAAGAAGATTAGGACATTGATCTTCTGCTGTTGACTTACAGTTCGAATGGCCTGTTTCCCGTCCACCTTGAGTTCATCTGATGGAACTTCCTTCTCTGATAAACTGTCAGGAGCCGACATATCATCCATTAGATGTTGTGGTTTTGTGTTTGCGGCCTTGAAGTCCGCCACTGTTCTGTAATTCTCAGCTCCTCCTTCAATCTCTGCCATGGAATTTCTTAAAGTTTCAAGCTCCTTTTGCAAGTTCTTGATGCTTTTGTCAGATTCCTGGAGTTTATGGTCTGCGATTCCTTTTAAATCTTTCTCCGTGCTGTCTTCATGTTTAACTGCTTCTGAAACTCGACTAAAAGTTCCAACTTCTGCTTCGCTTTCGCTCTCCGACCCGTCCCAATCAAACTTCTTCTTAATCTCCTCCCTCATGCTTGAAACATCTTGAAGAGAGAAACAGTGGTTCACAATCCAATCCAGAGCAGAACTCAACTCTTCGGCAAAGCTGTTTATGTCTGCTTTTCTGCTCAACAGATCGTGACATGTGTGCAGAAATCGCTGCAACAGGAGGCGTAATTCTGAAGTTTTCCATTGCAGCACGCGAACCGTGTAGCCTGGTTGCGATTCTGAAATCTCAGGTGCTGGTGAATCTAAGCTGACTCCTTCGATGATTTTGATGACTTTGCTTATTGATTTGCTGAGATCATTGTGCAGATCCTGATGGCATTTCCCGCCGAAAGATGCGTCTTTTCCCGTCTCTTCACTCGGTTTCTCTTCCACGATAGAACTCGCAGTTTGTTGCGACGAGACCTGACTCTCCATTTCCGTCCTCGTTGCCGCATTGGTATCAGAGCCCAAATGGTTCAAGGCTTTTCTGATGTCTTCTAATATCTCATCAGTATTTCTCCGCGAAACATGCTTGTGCTCCAGTACGGTCTGAAGCCACCGAGGGAGTGTGGAATCGAAGGTACGAGTCGGCGGATTATCGACTGAAACCACCATGGCTAACTTCTCCATTTCAGCAAAATCATCCATTAGTTTCATCTCTGAAGCTTCTGGACTTTTTCTCAGAATGCTCGAGCCTTTCTGCTTCTTGCTCTTGAGATTCTCCAGTTCTGAAAGTAAAGCAGAAGCCATTGAATCTGCGCAGCTAACCTTATCATCACTGTCAAACTCCGATACCGATGCAAGCGAGACATCGTGTGATGCATTGCTGCTCCGGCCTGGTTCTGTATTTGTGCCTTTCGACGATTCTTCAAGACGTGACTCGAATTCTAACAGTCTACACGCTGTTCGGGAATACACGTTTCTCGAGAACTGGAGTTCATTGATTTTCTTGCTCAGGGCTTCCCTCAGAGTCCTGTTCTCTTCTTCCATTAAGCACAACTGCTCAGTGAGGTTATTGATCCTCTCAGAATCGATCGGGCTTCCGTTGAATCTTCTCCTCGTTTCGAGCGAATCCCGTCCCGACATTTCCACCTCGCTCCTCATTTTTGACAAAGCCGCTGGCCCGGGTAACCGTTTTCGCACCAGTATCCTTAGCCTCTGACACTCTGTTTCAAGCTTCGTGATCTTCTTGACATTCTCTAAGTGCAGCTTATGCGACGCTTCAGCAGTTCGCCGGCTAAATTCCCTCTCTTCGTTCCGGATCTCGAGCTCTTTCTCTAGCACCCGAACCTCGTACTTAAGAGAAGTGTTCTCCTTTTCCTTGGATTCTAACCTACTTGTCAGCGCATTGAGATCAGCTAGAACACGATCCCTCTCTCTGTTCAGATCTTCGACGAGCTTATTCTTCGCCAGAACATCGTGCATCGTTCTCTGCTGCTCCTCCCGAACAGAACGGAGCTGAAGCATGCATTCCTTAAGACCAGCGTCGAGATGACTTGTCCTTTCCTCGCTCTTCTTTTTGTCGTTTAGAGCGTCGTCTAGTTTCCTCCTTAGAGATGCTGCCTCGGCTTTTGCCTTCTCCCAGCCTAGACAGGACCGAAAAATGAGATCCAGACAGAAAGAAAGAACTGGAAAAAAAAAACACAATAGCATCTCGGGAAAGATTAAGTAAAATATTACCAGCAAGTGTTTCTTGTGCCTCGTTCTCTTGTTTCTTGATCAGAACGTCTTTGGCAGTGCACTCGGCCATGACAGACATAAGCTTATCGGTTAGAGTTTTAAGGTTCTTTTCCAGATCTGTCTTGTCAGCCACAAGCTTCTCAATCTAGTTAAAGGAACAAACAAACGAGGCTCATCATGATCAGAAGATGATGCAGGTGCATCCATGTCACCATGAAAATCTCCATGTATGGATGGTTATATAACCATCTGGTTTTCCCCCACTTCAGATAACAAAAACCAGGAAAAGTAACAGCAAGACAATGGTATTGGATTTGTCGGTTACCTCTTCCACATTTCCTTTAGAGGAAATGCTATTGGATTTGTCGGATTCTGCAATGGTCTTCTCAGCAGATTTCTTCTTCCATGGCCATGCCTTTTGATCCATGGCTTACACAAGAACTGCAACAACAACAACAGACAAGAACCACTGAAAACTACTGTCTTTTTTCGTTTTACTTCTTTAGACATTACAGAACAGAACCCCACATTTCATGACTAAAACCCACACTACATGTGAATTGGAGCACTCGAATCCAGATTGTACGTCGAACAGGAACAAGAAATCCAGGTATAACTGGCCCAGATCATAAATCATTTGCATGAATCATGGACCCATCACTTCCTTAATCCACCACTCTTCCCATCCTCGGCTTAACTAATTCCCCAGTCACATTCCCAGATCAGAAACAATGCTTCGTAAGAAGGAAATAAGAGCTCGAACCACAGCTCCGTTGATGGATTTGACAGCAAAACAACTAACTATGAACTCCAAAACGGCTCTCGGGCGGCGAATAAAACCTTAACCAGACAGAAGGAAACTCAGATCGATCATGCCCTCCGAGGAAAGAAAAACCCCGAAAAACCGAAAACGACACATATCGCATGCAAGGTTGCGGCGTAACATACACAGGAAAGTCCAAGAAATCTGGCGAATAGCTTCCTCACCTTGTTAAGAAGAAAGGGTCGCAGAAAAAAAATCAAACTTGATCACTCCAAGCAGCAAACATGGAGGGAAGAAGAAGCATACAAGCCAGGAAGAAGAAGAAGAAGAAGAAATGGCGTCGAACACTACAGTGAGAAGGAGACAAGGAGAGGAGGAGGCGAAGACGAGAAAGAAATAGAGGCGTACGGAAAGCGAAAGGAAAGGGGAAAAGGGCTGTTTGGCAAACGAGAAAAGTTCGGATGACTCCAAAAGGAAAGTGACGATGCAATGCAACTGGGGGGGGAGAGAGAGAGAGAGAGAGAGAGAGAGAGAGAGAGAGTTAGGTGTCGGCTGGGATCTGATCGAGATGTGCCACATAAGCTTCATTAACGTTGGATCGAGTGAGATTAGGGTTTAGCACTAATTTTCAAGCATAAAGTTAATTGTTTGAGTCCAAATTCGATGAAAGTTAATTGTATATCCAACTTTACAATCACTTGCAATCTTAAAACGATGTTCCCATTTTTTACCTATATTTTTTTTTTAAATTATATTTTATGAGGTGTAAAATCACTGGACTGCTGTCCGAAAATAAAAGTGTCATATTAGTTTGGCCCAAGTGTCATGTCTTGAAACGCTTAAACCTTAATCATGCTTAGTGTGCATTCTAATCAACATGAAGAAGTGCTTTGTTAGTTAACTCTCTCTAGTGACTTTAGTTGGTTTAATGGAATTGACTTTTAACTACTACACACTTTCATATATATCATCCTTGGTTTTATTTCTCTCTTTTTTTCATGTACTTGCAACATTATATATATATATATATATGTATGTAATCACCTCTCAATTACACGAAATAACAGTGAAATTAGATTCCAAAAAGTGTTTGTTAATGACCGTAATAAATGTAGTATGTGCTCTTTTGCCTGTGGGTTGACTTCAACTCGGCCCCTTTAAATAAAATATAATTAATTAGGCAGTAAATTTAGGCAATTAGTCTAAGTTTGGTGGCAAGCTGCTCCAATCACTTGGTGCCTTTATGGTAGTTCGGGTGACTTGATGGTCCCACTCCCTTTCTCTATACACATATATACTAGGGTGTCAATTGTTGTCCGAGACCCAAAGTCCGGTCCGGTCCATCTCAAAAAATAGCGGACTTTGGACCGAGATATTGAGATTCGGATCGGGCTCGATTCGGACCAGCCCGAAAAATCCGATATTTTTTTAAAAAAATCTTAAGAAAAAAATATTAACAAAGAAAATTGTGTGGACTAGCCCAATCCGACCCAACCCGATCCAAATCCGAGATCTATAGGGTCGGACTTTGAACTTAATGATATAGATTCGAAAAAAATCGGGTCGGCCCGAATCCGAGTCCGAAACCCTCGGACTGAGTGTGGATTCGGACCGGCCCGATTGACATCCCTAAAATTATATACACACACGCACACACTATATGTATATAGATTAGTCACCTGTGTGTATCCACACAATGGATCAGCTATTGGGCGTATTAACTGTTTCCTTTATTATTCTTTTTTTTTTATTTCCATGCTTAATCATAAACAATGTGACGAATAAACATCATAAATACATTTAAACGTGGTTAAAAAATGTTTAACACCAATTCAAACCAACAAATTCATGAACTTTCGAAAAAAAAAATCATGAAAAAATGGCATAAAAGTTTGGAATATATAATAATTGTGTGATGGGCCGTGAGGAAGAAATGCGGGTCCGAACAGAGCCCATGTTAACGCATTTGGAACTAAATCCATCTAATTTGGGTTTTGACGGCCCAACGAAAATCAGTTAAAATATAAACAACACATTTCCCAAGCAAGATTGTTTATAACAAGAAAAAAAATTTGTATAAACCACAAATTTCAATTTTTTTTCCGCGTATATATATATATATATAGTTGCTAGTTAATAAATTTCTGATTGGGCTCAATCAAAACATTGTGATGGATTTTCTGACAAAACATGCAAGTCATATTTGGGCCGAACTAAGGCCTGATTGTTGGGCCTTATTTTGACTCATTTTGTGAATACATCCATGATGATGTCATGTATATATATATATATACACACACACACACTTAAAATATGAAGAAATTTTATGTTTAATTATCAAATTGCAGTCCAAGACCCAAAAAATATGTTAAAGATTTAAACTTTCAATGATGAAAACATACAGTTGATATATATAGGCATACACATAGTAGATGGGAAAAAAAAAAAGTTTGTTAGATGATCGTCGCGTGAATGAATCGCTCTTTCGATATTCCAATTGACATTTTTCTTCCCTGATTTTGGGTGGTTCACATTGAATATACGACATATTTCAATGGACCACGCAATTTCTCACGTTAATGGAATTTTAAAAAAAAATGAAACAAAAAAAAACACGAAATGAAGTTCAACTTTCCCTATTTAGAAATTCGTGGGAGACTTTACTCTCTAGAAACACGAATTGATGTCTTTCCTTTGAGGATATGTAAAATGTTTATATGATTAATGTAGCCGACGAACTTTTTTTTTCTTTATAACGACATCATTATGCCCCCCGATCTTTCTTCTTATATTGAAAAAATATGGTAATCGTTGAAAGGTACGTACTAACAAATTTACATAAACAAGAAGGGTAAGCAATTGGACTATATATATATATATATATTCAATAGGTCACTTAAGTTGACGTTAGAAATATTGATTTTGGCCTCTTTTTCTACAAGAAAAGAAAGTAGAGTAAATGTTCAAACCTTCTCCATAATCGTTCGCTCATGAGAAATATGCAAGAAAATACACAATAATATGGGTAACATGGATCTAATTACCATAAATAGAAATTGAGCGATGGGACAAAACGAAGGCAATAAGGCATTGAGGGCATTGTCGGCGAACGACAACAAGGGGAAACCCATGTAAAATCAACTAATACATGTTTCGTTTATCCAAAAAAAATACTTTTTTTTTTCTTTTGTACTTGTAAGAATGAGAAATATTTTGCCTGTTTTCTTCAAATCGTTAATATGTTAATAATATAATATCCGCGGAGTTTCATTTGTAAAAGTAACTGCAGACATTTTTATGTGCGTCTCGTATAGATGATATATATGGAATTATATGAAATTATTTCATATATAATTATCAATCTATACGAGATTATCATTTGTAAAAATAATATGGATATATTATTTCATATATAATTATCAATCAAATCATTAGCCTATGTCGGCAATTAATTAAATTTCCTCATCTTCCCCGGCCCCCCCCCTTTTTTTTTTTTGTTTTTGAAAACAAAAAAAAACCATTATTTTCATGTGTATGACCCATCGAACCAATCTCCCAAATATGGAAACTGACACCATGAATGGCAATACATCATCAAAAGAAACAAAATCCATACTAAAATCAAAGAGAAAGTAACAGAGTGCACCACAATAACAGTAAAAGTAGTTGCTGTCATTTCGCATTCTAGTTAGTTTTTTTTTTGTTTATAATTTTAAGTTTTAAAATTTTATATTTTGTTGGAGAGCTTTTCATTTTTCAGTTGGTCAATTAGATTGATATTAATTTGAATTAAAATAAATTATAATTAATTAATATTTAAACCAGATTCGATAAAGGTAATATAATGTGTTCGTTTAAATTTATTTTATATATTTGGATTAAAATGAACATTTTTAAATAAAAGTGAAATACTTTTATTCCCTTCCCCCGAATGTCAATTCAATAAAAAGTGATTTTTAAAAAATAAAAAATCAATTATATATACATATTTCATAGGTTTGCCATTCTTGTGATATCTTTGAACGGAATCTATCTTCTACGTGTCCCTGCAGAATTAGACAGTGTTATACATGGTCACGAAACGCTAATGATTTATTTAATAATATCATTATTTTTTTTAAAAAATTATTTTTTTGTCTATATTTCTTGATTTTTTTTTGTTTGGGTTTTTTTTTTTACTAAAGTGGATGCATAACAAGAGTTCCCCGGTTGCACTGCACAGTCTAATGTTTCCTTTGTGTATGGAGTTTTTCTCGACAAAGCATGATGGACACCTCCCCACTTTTGGACCACCCTCTCCATCGCCTTACATTATTTTCCATATATATATGTACGATATTTTTTAAACAAAAAAAAAATCAGTTCTTATATATAAATATACACACACACACACACACTCTACAATATCTACATATTTCTATTAGTGATCTTAATGTTCATACCGATTTTTTAATTTATATCTCAGTCATTGATGTAGATACATCCGTATAAAAACAAACAAACAATAACAACAACAATAATAATAATAATCTTATATATATAAAAAAGAAGAGTTCACCTCCTTGGCTTGACATGTCCTCAAATAGGAATAAATTCACTTGAGTTGAAAAGAGTTAATCTATCATGAATACATTAATTTATATGTTTATTTTTTTTATATACATACATTTATAGAGTCATGCATCTAATATCTCTAATAACTAGACGTAAATACGAATGATTAACTTGACACATGTCCCTCTAATTAAAATTTTAAAAGATTTTGTATTATTAAATTAATATCTTAATTTTAATATATCATTATTTCTTTGTATTATTAAATAGATTATTTTTTAAAATAGAAAACGCTTTTCTATTTAATGTGTTAGATTATTTAAAAGTTCCTATTAAAAATATAAAAAAAAAATTGCAATTAAGAATATATATAGATATATGTATATATATGAGTGTATGTGTCCTTATTTTTTTTACTATTTTTATTTATTATTATTATTAGGAAAAAACCTAAAAAATCATAAACTTTACAATGCAACTTACTAAAATTAAATATCATACTTAAAATTCATTATTTAAAACCTTATAAAAATAGAGTTAAAAAACTATTAATAGAGAACAACAAAACGGACATTATAAAAAGACGTTAAAACAAAAAAAGTTTTTAATTGTAACTATACAAGTGCTTTTATTAAACAAAAAAAAAACTATACAAGTGCTACCTTCAACCCTTAGAGTTAAGTAATTAAAATTTTCTTAATACATTTAACAATTGAAATTTATGGGTGTTTTCATTAATTTTTTTATATTGAATTATCTATAGAATATATTAAAGTTATACGTAAACACAACAATACAACAACAATCAAAGATACCCAATACCAAAAATATATACTTAAAATAAGTATACAAAAAAAGTTAATACATAACTAAAATCTATTGACCTAAATATTTGATATAACCAAACAATACACAATACACATGTCTATTTTTTCATTAATGTATTTATATATATTTATTGTTTAACGAAGAAAATAGATTATTCTTTAATGAAAAAAATAAAATCATATGTGAGACCGAAATATAGAATAATTATAACTAATATATATACAATATATATTAAAAAATAATATGTATATATTATTTATAAAATAATTTATAATATATATATATACTATATATATATATGTTTTATTAGTTATAAGTAATTTTATATTGATGAATTGTCCTTATTTAAACTATATATAATGCAGTTGATACACTTGGATTAATACATTTTATATTATATTAAAATTATATATTACAACCCACAAAAATCTAAAGACAAAAAATATTCATCAACTATTTTTCAAAACAAATACATCATCTCATTATCAATATTTTCAAAAAAAATCATGTTTTAATTTAATAATATGAATTATAAATTTTAAAACAAAATATAATATATTTAATTTTAAAACTAATAAAATTATTTAAAATCGATATTTATTTTTAATTCATGCGATATATACGAGTGAATATATTTGTTATATAAACACATAAATTGTGTCAAATATCTTTTAAAAAAAATATATCATCTCGTTATCTTAACAATTTAAAAAAAATTTATTTTGATTTAACAATATAAAATTTTTTTATTATCCTTTTTAAATATTAAAAAAATAATAGATAAGTTTTTTTCTTCTGAAATTCTCATTTCTAAAAATATTACTCCAACCCTTAATTTTTTTAGATAACTAGGTATCTTGAGTCGAGACCCATACTAATCACAGGATCAGATTGAGAATAAACCATATGATTAGAATATACACTTTCCTTCTCAACTTGAGACTCAAATTCAGAATATGTCAGATGTTTTACGTCCCCATTTCATCAGTTAAGCTATCTAAGTTGGGTTCTAACCCTTAATTTTATATTATAATACAAAATATAAATATAGATATTATTTACAATCATTTTCTGAGAATAAAAGATACTATTATCTCAAATATTTTTAAAAATATTTATTATTTTAATTTAAGATATGAATTATAAATTGAAAATAAAATAAAATATATTTAATTTTAAAATTAATAATATTTTTTAAAAACTATACATAGTTATAGTCCGCGCGATCTGCGCGGGTTAAAACATAATAATAATAATAATAATAATAATAATAATAATAATAATAATAATAATAATAATAAGATGGTTTGTATTTGGGATCATTTCTTCCTTGGTTATTAGATGCTTGTATGCGATCATGGGCGGACCCATATAAATGAATAGGATCATAGGTCCCTATTTATTTAGTTTTAAAAAATTATTATTTTTAGTTTATAAGCTTTTAAATAAAGTTGTTAAATAGCTATAGTAAAATTAAGTTTATCCCGTATTAAAATTAAGTTTGTTAAAATTAAGTTGGCCTTTGATTATAAATTTATGGTCCTTCTATGGATTGACAATTTTATGGAACTATTTATGTTTAATGGAACGTATATCCCTCTGATTCACTATCAAATACATTGATAGTTTTTTTAAAGTACTTCCACAAAATAAAAAAAATGTATTTCAATCATAATAATATGCTTTTAACAAATAAAAATTGTTTTTGATTTAAAAAAATGAAATCTTTTTTGAGATTCTAGGTTTTGCAAGCTGTTTCCTAGGTGACTCATGAGCATAAAGCATATCCGCAGATTATTAAAATAAATCTGAATTATTATTATATATAACTTGCATATAATAAATAACGAATGTACTAGCAATTTCTGTGGTACGATTAGTCTCGTCACTACAAATCTTGCCACTTATAGAACTGTTTTTAATTAATAAAAAATTGCCCTCATGTCAATATGATATTTCCTTGTGACGACTTGAATGACGAAATTGGTTCTCTTAATTTATTCATAAAGCAGTACTTTTATCTCGAACTTTGTATTATATATATTAATGTGACAAGACGATTACTATTCATGGACCGACTGATTGCCTTATCATACGAATTTTAAAATAAAAATCCGAATAAACTATTGCAAAGTTGCGGAATTCCCCATGATGCACTTGCTGGTCCAACGAACCGTTTCCTCGTACACTAATCTCAACTTGCCTTAAACCCTAGACATATTTACATGTGCAAACATATACTTAAACATGTAATATACACGCATATATATATATATATAGTTACACATAACTATATATAGTTTATTTTTCACACGTGGCTGGTTGAAAACTTGGAGATCTTTTATATTTGCTATATATATATATATATGATTACATTTTCCTTATCGAGGAGGCAAATTACTTATTGTATACCAAAATTTTTGTGGCCATTGGTATTCAGCTGTATAAAAATTCCGAATAAAATTTTCGGTATGAGGTATTCATAACTCGCAGGAACCAAATTGATGTACGTGGGGTTAAATTTGTTAACAATAAAAATTAACGGGAGAAAGGGTAAAATCTATGAAAAAAAGGGATATAAGAATGAACACCGAAAACGGAGAGAGAGGAGAAGTCTCTCTCGCCATTATAGCAATGTCTGACTCATTTTGGGTTTCTGTGTGACTCAAAGGACAACGTTAATTGAATGTGAATTTATATTTATAATTAAAAATATTTACATTTCCAAGATACTTTCCCATTTCATAATATCAACGTTTAATTACTTGAATGCTTTATAACTTAAAAACCAACATGTTCTTCTTCTTCTTTCTCCTTAGGCAGGAAGAGGAAAAAATAGAATACGAAATCGTCCGTACGATGGATTCTCCATTTATGCGTTTACCTACTCATTGCAATATGATAATTATAGTTACGAAATTTTGCTATATTGGTGTAAACATCAGTACCCATCAAGGGGAGGAAGACTATACGTACAAGTTAGCGTAGATTCTTTGCATATACTGAATATATATATATACATACATTTATATAGAAGCAGAATATATATTTTTTTTCAAGAAATAACAACTTAGAAAAAATAATGAAATGAAATGGGAATAACTAAACAAAGATAGACTGGACTTAGGTGCAGGTAACATATAAAGCAGTAACGTAATAGAAACAACAAAAGACAACACATTGACAAGCAACTGAGCCAAGGCTTTTTTGGTCAGAACAGCTAAAATCAGATTTATCCATTCCACGATAAAATAATACTATTATATTGTATTCATAGATAACAACAATTAATAAAAAAAAAAACACAGAGAAAATAAAAATATCGTCCGTCTAACAGTTTCAAGGCCAACCCATCAACGCCGTTTCCCCATACAACCGGGAAAAAAATTTCCATCGTTTTCCCGAGAAAATTTCATGGCCTAATCAAGGGTTTTGCAAAAACCCAAAAAGAAAAGAAAAGAAAGGGCATGACCGAAATTAATGCATTACGGGAAATCAATGACCACGGCCATATGGGTCTTCTTAGATTTAGGGTTTCTTTCCTTTTTTTTTCTCATGAAAAAGAAAGGTTTTTGGAATATTTTAGAAAATATTAAGCTTAAAAGAGAGAGAGAGAGAGAGTAGAAGGATCAAGAAGGTCTCATGAGTGAAGGATGGAACCCATTGCTCTGCAGCCAATTTTGGTGAGAAGTGAAAATCTGATGATGATTATTAGGAGAGAATCCTGATGATGCTGCAGCATTTGCATACACTTGGTTCGTCCGATCAAACCGGTGATCGTTCGCCGTCGCCGGAAAACGCGAGAATTCTCCGGCGCCTCCGCCGCCAGTGTTGCTGCTGCCCGGAAACTGAAACCCAACACCCGAGAATCAGCATAAACTAAATAAACTATCTAATTAGAACTAACCATTTTATTTTATGGTCGTATAAAAGTGTATATATATATATATATATATAAAGGTAGCACACTTGATGATTTGCAGCTTGAGGAGTAAGATTAAGCACTGAAGTGTTGTGACCGAATCTGTGTTGTTGTTCTTGCTGCTGGCTCATCTGGGGAAAAAACGATTACGCAAACAACGAAATATGAATTAATATGGATCTAACACATGATCAAATTAAAACCCGGTCGAATTAGTCAACAAGATCACCTTAATCCGCATTTCTTGACTCTTTTGCTTGGAATTGGCCGAACTTCCCAAACTCAAGTCGAGGTTGTGATCCGCCGCAGCATTACCCGAAGATTCTGCAACATTTACACATTATAATCTTTAAAAAAAAAAAACTTGAAACCGAATTCTTGGACATGGATAAATGGTTATGGAAGTATACCGGCGTTGAGCTCGTCATCGTAGATGCTGGGATCAAAGTTGGTCACAGCCTCTTTCCCATTGCACTTAATCGCGGCTTTATCGTAAGCCCTGAGACATACCACAACGGTCCAAATTAAATTGAGAACTATAGAGAGTTGACACAGCATGTATAACGGTAATGAATACCTAGCAGCTTCGATTTCGGTGTCGAACAAGCCGAGGTAAACGTACCTGCCAAAGAACAGATGGGCAGCAATGAAAACGAGATTTCAAAGTGATTAGAGAGCCGGGATTAAGAGTGAAAAAAGACTAAGTACTTTTTGCCCAAGAACTGGCCCATTCGAGCCTCCCAACGGCCACACTTGTGCAAAGTGACTCCTCTGTATTTGGAGCTTCCCCGAGGAAAGCCTGTGCTTTGTCGGCGAAGTACGTGCACGAACTCCTCCTTTGTTAGATTGCTCATCTTCAAAAAAAAAAAAAATCAAATTTAAAAAAAAAAGATCATACATACGAACAATTGAACGTATATATTCGAAATAACAAAAAAAAAAAAAAAGAAAGACGGGTTCTTTTTCTTTATTTTGTGTGTGTGTGTATTCATGGCGGATGATAAGGTTGAAGATAAGAAACCTGTTTCAGGTCATCTTCGTAATCTTCAATGCTGAAGTTGATATCAGCTTCTACTCCACGGAATTTGATAGCTGCTCTATCGTATGCCCTACCGAAATTAAATTGAAGCTCTTTCATTAGACATTATTTCACTCCTTTTTATTTTTATTTTTTATCAAAATGAAAGAAACATACCGAGCAGCTGCATGAGCCGTGTCGAATCCACCTGTAGAATCACAAATGAAAATACCCAAAACGAAAAAATTAGCATTTTTTTTCTATTTATTAATGAAAAATATGGATTCCGGAGAAAGATTTTACCTAGATAAACCTGTTTCCCACAGTCCCTGAAAAATTCGGACACAAAGCGATTAGCCAAGGATTAACATAAGTAATAGAAACTGAAAAAAAAAAACAATCACCAGATATGAGATTCCCATCTTCCGGTTCGCCGGTAAAATGTGACACCTCGGTACTGAGAGCTCCTGGACCGGGGTCCACGGCGGCTCTTCTTCAGCGGCTGAGCTGGTTCGGACGGTTTAGCCAAACCGGTTAGATCCGACTGAGAGCACTTCACCCCGAACCAGTGGGCACCCGGGGAAGCCGGGCCTCCTCCGCCGCTGCCCTCCGCCTCCGGGAAGAACTGTCTGGTGACCGGCCGGTCGGTGTCCACGTGGAACCCGAAAATCCGGCTGCCGGCCGGGTTGGTTGTGACCCGGTTAGCGTCTTCGTCGTCGGATCCGTCCTCGATGACGACGGCGGAGGAGCTCGAATTGGAAAAAGTTCCGACCCGTTTACCAGGAGAAGACGAGCAGAATCCGTCTGATTCATCGGCGATTTGTGATTGATGAGGCGAATCATTGAGATCCCACATTTTTTTTTGCTGGGTTTTTGTTTGCTTTGTATCGAGGGTTCAAATCCTCTCTGGTTAGATTCTCCTCGAGGCTAGAAGCTAAATAACAAGGAGAACCAGAGGCTGTTTGGTAGAAAAGAAAAGAAAATCAAAGCAGAGAGAGAGAGATGAGAAACTGAGAAATGTGGGAAACGAATTGAAAATGTTTTTTCCTTAGTTCGTTTATACGAAACGAAAGCATTCGTTTTTAATTTATCCTTTCCTCTTTATTTACTTCGACTGTCTTCTCTCCCTCTCTCTCTCTCTCTCTCTCTCTCTCTCTCTCTCTCTCTCTCTCTCTCTCTCTCCCCTTAGGTTTTCTCTGTCTAACCACTTGCTCACTTTGGAAAAAAGATTATATGCCAAACTATTCCTCGTATTGGAGTTCATTTCATTTTCCTCTCCCACTTATTCCCATTTTTTTGTTACCAAACACAACGCCTCGGTGGATTTACACGAATTATATCTTATTCTTATTCAAGTCCACTTTATGCTATATGGTCCTTTGAAGCAGTCCATAATATTACGACCCGATTGGCGAGATATACCCAAAAGGCTTCTGAATTTTGCCTTTCAATTGGGTTGAACTAGGAAAAATCCTAAGATATGTATTTAATCTTTCAACAAGATAGTTTTTTTGTTTAAACTTTCAATAAATTAGTTCATGACTTGAAAATGTCGAAATGCGAAAAAAAAATGTTATCTTGTTTATGGAAAACAAAATCGGAATCCTTTTATCAATTTATTGTAAATTCTCAGGTCCTTTTCTTGAACGGAAAATTTTAAAGAAACACGTAAAAGCTTAAAAATGCAAAAAGTTCACACATGAAGTTGTAGCTGTATAGAGATACATGTAACATGGTTGGGAAATTAAAGAGATTATAATTCATTTTTATTCTACTAAACCACTGGTTATATATATAGAGGGATAAATATGTATTTTTACATAATGAAATATTTATACAAGTGAGTTAATCTAATAATACACATGTAAAAACACGTATTTATCCCCTCTATATACCTACATTATTTCATTTAAAGTGAAGTGCCAAAAAAATAGTACTTTGTCACACAGAAGCAAGTATAGATTCTTTTAGCAGTTTGTGGAGGACAACAACAACAACAACAATGATGATGATGATGATGATGATGATGATGATGATGATGATGATGATGATGATGATGATGATGATGATGATGATGATGATGGTGTATGGAAGAATTTTGCTAATCAAGGGAAAGTCCACGCTCTTAGTTTAGATCTTACCAATCAGATTACATCAAATGAATATTTATTCAATTTGAATGTTTGAATGTTCGAGTTCTCCTCCGTCTTCAATAAAAAATGGATTCAGGTCTTATTTTTCGAGATTCATGCGAGTAATTAAACATTTTTTTAATCAGTATTTACCTAATAATCCTATTTACGTAAACCTAATTAAACTAAAACTTTGATACTCAAATTCTTTAGCATAAATTATATAGAAAATTCGAAGTGGACAAATTAACACGGTTTATATATTCCGTTCGTACATCTCCATGGTGAATCAACGTTATTATGAGTAAAAATGATATTAAATGGTTGGCTTTGATAATAATAAATCATGCTGGAAGTTTCGTGTATACATATGTACATATAGATTATACATAAGAGACGAGTAGATACGGACAACGAGTGGGACCATATCGCACGCTTCATAAAGGAAGAAGTAGTCGGTAGTTCTACAAAGGTTGGGGTTGTAAATATGGGAGGGAAGGAGGGGCAAATTGGGAAATAAGAAAAGAAAGAAGACAAGAATGGGAGTGTTGGGGCAACGAAGGAATCAGAAAAAGGAAAATGGAATAATGGAAGAAAAAGGAAGTTATTACCAGAAAAGATGAATCCATTGGAGAGTACGGACAAAGAGTGGGGATCCTTTTTCCTCTTTCGTCTCTCTCTCGTATCCCTCACTCGCCTCTCTTCGCGCGTGCTCCCCACCCTCTCCTTCTTGCACTCTTTTTTCATGTTTGTTTTAGTACCAAAATGACTGAATATATAGTGTTTATTTTAAATGCTGCGCTCTCAATTATTATTCTACTAATTTTTAGTATTAAATGAACAAAATAATTACAATGGACTGTACTAAAATAAAAATTTGATACAGTTTGTAAGTACAAAATTTCTATATTTTTAAATTTTGTATATAAAATGTAATGAATTTATCAAAAAATGTTTATAAAAGATCCAGCCTTGGCTATATACATCATATTAACATGCTCCAAAATAAAGACAATCAAATGTTAGATAAAATTCAATTTTCAATTTTTCTATTTATCTATATCATTGTTGTCAGAAGAATGTGATCGGATATTTTTCGAGAGGATAAACTAATTGAAAAGAATTGACGTATTTATACTAATTTTAAAAAATATAATATTAGGCATACAAAGTTCAACGCCATAACAAGAGCATAGATATATGTGGAAAAGGCATCCTTTGAAAATATCGAAATACATTAAAGCAAAATTACTATTTTTGAGTTTTCAACAAAAAAAGATAAAGGGCGAGGATATTATAAGGGCGTGATGAACACGCTCCGGAGTAGAGATGGCGCCGGGGCTCTGACTAAAATGCTGGAGCCAACTCAACCCTTTGCAGATAGTAAGATCGGCTGTTAGATTCGTATACTTTCATAAAATCATCATCCTTGACATCACCCTCCCGTTTATTTAAATATTTTTCTCGACAAAAAACGAAAGCCTGATGAAGAGGGGATTGTGTCGGAAAGGGAAACAATCGTATTTTTGCTATGTTGGATGAAGAGCGGCTTGTTATTTCTTAAAACATTTGAATCCCTATATTTTAAAATCAAATAATATGAATTGTATTTGAATTAAAATGAATACAAGATTAATTAATTTTAGAATAAAATTATATATAAAATTTAATCAGATAATAAAAATAGTAAAATATAAAAAAAATTAAAACAGAAACTTTTTCATAAATTCGATATAAAACCGAATAAATATGCATTCTTAAAATAATAATAAAAATGGTACTTGGATTCTATACTTTTGAAAATAGTTCCAGAATTTTAAGATCTTTCCGCATGTAGTGATGAATGAAAATACTGTCAGAAGATTAGCGGCTTGGTTACCTTTTCTATGGTTGTCTCCTCTTATATTGTCAAGACAACTGATTTCCTTGACCCTATATAGGAAATTCTTACAAAATATTTTCTTCGATTTTACATGCACGTATATGTTATATATATATATATATATATATATATATATTATATGTGTGTGTTGCAACTTGTAATAATGAAATTAGTGCATCTATCAATCAATCTAATCCCGTACTACATATACGGTTTTACGCAAGATATATGTTGTATTTTGGGTGGTATGCAAATAACAAACGTTCCAATAATGGCATCCGTTGATTATGCTCCTTTCCTCAAGTGGAAACTATACTCTCTCTCTCTCTCTCTGTGCATATATGTAAATACACACACACTGTTTAGCTTTACATACATGTAATTAGGGCGTAAATCACGATATTGCCCATGAAATAAATATACACGTTTTAAACCTGTATTTTAATTTTTAAGTTAGAGGGGATATGTGTGTGGATATGGTCCTTATCTTTTTTTTTAAAAAAATTTTTGATGCGTACGTGAATTGTAATATATATGCATATATATATATATATATATATATGTATATGTCAATAATTGCAAAAGCCCAAGGCCCACACTGAAAGCAGACACACTTTCTCTCTCCAATAAAAAAAAAGAGGCCCACAAAACCTCGATACTCATATCCCCAAGCATCCCGTGAAATTTCATTTTTCTCCGAATATCAAATATATATATTTATTTATTTATTTACAAATCAAAACAAACTTGCAAACAAAAGATCCTAGTTTTGGCCTGACTTCTATGGCGTTTTGATACCATACATTTATAACATGGAAAAATGTATAACAAAAATAAAAATAAAGGTTTTATTGCATGGAAAAGGTTAAAAATGTCATTGATTACAGACGACACAAAACAAACATTGTATGAAATCAAGATATTTGGATCTGATGTAACGAGGAAATACACATGTGTCCGTATCTTGAAGATTTTATTTATAGATCTATGTATCAAAATGAATCCCAACCGAAGATACATACATGTGAAGGAGTGAGCAGAGTCCAGCTGGAAATCTCAATCAGTCCGAGATTACCAGCGTGTAATCATCGGACAATATCCGTAGAATCTTGATTCCGTTTGAGTTGTCGAATCTAGACGGTTCGATTTTACTCACTGGGCCCCACTTCATTAGTACCGACGTGTCTCCTCGGTAAGCACTAGGCTCCCATATATACACACACGTCACACACACACATATATATATATTCTTTTGTTGATGATCGTGGGAAAAAATCTGTTATAAAGAAAGAATCAAGATCTTGGTTTATTTTTAAATAATACACGACCAAAATACTGGACTGTTTCGCAACAATAGGTAAAAATGCTAATATTTGTTCTTTGATTAGATTTATTTTTTTTATCATTGGACCAAAAATTATGTACGAATGCAATTTATAATCTAAATCATAATATTTATACATATATGTTCCATTATAAGTATCTCAAAACAAGAAAAATCGACAAGGACCAAATCTGAAAATGGTGGGAAAATATGTAACATATCTATGAGAACGGTTGCGCTAAATTAAAATCTTGAGAGATAATAATGAACCAAGGAAAATTGAAGAGGAAGAGAAGAGAAAAGGGTGAGGAGTTGGGAGTTTGGTTGGATATTATTGGGAGGACAAAAAAAATCTAAGGGAATTTTTTTATTAAAAAAAAAAAGAAAATGGAAAAATAATACAAAAATAGAAAGGAATCGAGAAAATGTGGGGTACGATGTACATACGATGGAGGTCCAAAGGCTTTCCTAATATGTCGATCTTTTCATTTAACCCCACATGGTTCCCATCTTTTTTTTAAAAAAAAAAAAATTAATTTTAATTATGTGTATGGGGGGTAACCAAATCGAACCACACCAACATTGTACGGTTCTGCAATAATTCACGTTAGGTAATGAGAGGAGGGGGGGGGGCAACTTTTCATGAAAATGGGAATCATCTCTCTTTTCCGTTTTTAAAATCTCATCTTCTTCGTTTCAATGTTTCCAAAAAAGAACAAATAAATGATTACGGTGGGTCGAATCCATGGTTTGTTTAGTTATTAAATAAATGTATCCATCTCTTACCCCCCCCCCCCCCCCC